CAAGCCGCGGGTAACTCAAGTCTGACCCTCCTAGCCGTGGGTCTCTCAAGTCTGACCCTCCTAGCTGTGGGTCACTCAAGTCTGACCCGCCCAACCGCGGGTCACCAAGATCTGACTCGCGCCAGGGCCAAGACATGAGACATGCTGCACCTGTTTTTCCGATTCCATTGAGTTCCGCCCCTACTTCAATTGATCACGCGCCTCCAGTAGAACTCCACGACAGTGTGGATTTGTTCCGATTTAAGATAAAGATCACAAATCACCTTGGTCCTTCACACGATGATCGAGGTAAAGCTCAAGTCAAAGAGCGCTTGGGACCATTGAACGAATCTCAAGCGGTTTATCAGGATGGGGGTCATAATCGTCCTCCTAAGCCGTGAAAGAGATCACTTGATAGAAAAATCCTTATAACTGACCATGTTGGATTGCGTGTCGAAGTCGAGGAGCCTGTCGAGATCCTACGCTCACGAAAATGTAGCCTCAAACATGTGACTCCTAAACACGCTAACAAAGCATTGAATTCCCAGAGGACGTCTGACGACGACGTTATACCTAGGGGGTCGTGCCAACACATGATAGATTTCTCCGGTCATCAGACCAATGAGTTGTACTATCGGCTGGGGGTACGAATAAATCTCGAAAAAGGAGTAGCCGAGAAGCGAACTCTCATTGTCCGTGTGCCAAAATTATCAGAGCAGTATTATTAGTGTGTAGTTGCCCCAAGACCACTCCGTAGAGGGTCTCAGTATTCGAGAGGATCTCCGACAGAACGGCTAAATCCAAGCCAAAGCATTTTTGCAAGAAACGATCGGTCATTCAAGGTGACGAACTTCTAGAAGTCACGATTAATATGGCTGATAAGGGAAAGTCGACTCGACCTTCTAGTTCTGACCCCCTCATATCGCATCGTTTAATTCGGCTACGCGCAGGGACTACTAGATGTAGGGACTATCAGAGGATGAATAGAGGGTTATCCCCGGATGATGAAGCATCAGATGCTAACTCTGCAGTCACTTCTGATAATACATTATCCAGCCCAGGACAATCCCGCGAGGTGTTTATGATCAATACCGAGCAAATGACCAAAATCATCGACGATGCCTTAGCCAAGCAAAAAGAGAACTTCAAGTTCGAAATGAAAATGGCTATGCTGCGGATGAGGGAAGAGCTTGACTAACAGATTCGGGCCTTGTCTAATCAAATTGGTGAATCTAGTTGTCACAATAATGCCTAACGGATAGGTGACGATTCAGACATGGATGAACACCTTGATGCAGATAACCCTCCCTTTGATAAAAACGTTACGGGTTGCCGATTTAGTCTTTCATCGAGTAAAAAAGAAACTAGAATCCAAGTTTGGGGAATTTTGTCCCAAAGCCTAAGTAGGGATAAATCAGCGCCTAACATGCGTTGTCGGTTAGTCATTAACCGTAAAAAGGATAAAAGCCCACATATTTGATATTATGGCATGTTGTTATTAATAATACCATAATCTATGCCTCACACGTATGGAGACTTTTATCCTGAATCCTAAGTAGGGATAAGTCAACGCCTAACACGCGTTGTCTGTTTAGTCTTTCACCGAGTGAAGAAGACACCATAATCCAAATCTAGAAAATTTTATCCCGAAGCCTAAGTAGGGATAAGTCAGCGCCTAACACTCGTTACTAGTTAGTCATTAACCGTAAAAAGGACAAAAGCCATATATTCAATATTATGACAGGTTGTTATTAATAACATCATAATCTGTGCCTCACATGTACGGAGAATTTTATCCTGAATCCTAAGTAGGGATAAGTCAACGCCTAACACGTGTTATCGGTTTAGTCTTTCTCCGAGTAAAAAAGATACCAGAATCCAAATCAGAGGAATTCTGTCCCGAAGCCCAAGTAGGGATAAGTCAGCGCCTAACACGCGTTGTCGGTTAGTCCTTAACCGTAAAAAGG